TCGCTTAGATAATTTAGTGAGTGAAGAAGAGTTTACAACTTTTTTAGAATTAACCGCTAAAAATAACTATCAGGTTAAAGCTCAGTGCTCGCATTGTAGAAAAAATGCTTTTACTACGCCTCGTAAGTTTAATTTACTTTTAACTACTAATTTAGAAGTAGGAGAAAAGCCAGTCAGCACCGTTTATTTACGCCCCGAAACTTGCCAAGGAATATTTATTAATCTGCCAACTATCCAAAGAAGTACTCACCAAAAATTACCTTTTGGCGTGGGACAAATTGGCAAGAGTTTTCGCAACGAAATTACGCTCCACCACGGAGTTTTCCGCACTCGCGAGTTCGAACAAATGGAATTAGAGTTTTTTTGCTCGGTAGCAGAAAGCGAAAAGTGGTGGAATTATTGAACGGAAAAAGCGTGGAGTTTTCTCCAAAAAATTATTAATAAACCAGAAAACATTAAGCAAGTGCTATTAAAATCTAACGAATTACCCCATTACGCCCAAAAAACCACGGATTTATATTTCCAGTATCATTTTGGGTGGGGGGAATTATGTAGCAATAGCCACCGCGGCAATTATGACTTGTTCCAACATAGCCAGTATTCCCAAAAAGATTTCCGTATTAACGGGGTTATCCCCCAAGTAATCGAGATCTCTTTTGGCGTGGAAAGATTAATGTTAGCTCTCTTAGAAGACGCTTATCAAGAAGAAATAGTCGTCAAATCCCAATTAACCCGTACTGTGCTAAAACTCTCACCGGTGCTGACTCCTTATTTTGTGGCAATCATTCCTCTAAGCCAGCAATTACATCAACTTGCTTATCAACTTTATTGTGCTTTGCTAAAATCCGTTCCTTTTAATCTAACTTTTGAAGCCGCCAGTAATATTGGCAAAAGTTATCGGCGTCAGGATGCTATTGGCACTTATTATTGTATCACAGTCGACTTTCAAACCACCCAGGATAACACCATTACTCTCCGTCAGCGAGATACCATGGAACAAACCCGCCTCCCTAGCAACTCCCTTAAAAATTATTTACATAGTCAATATGAAAAAGTCTTTCCCAAGTAAAGATAATAACACACTCTTTTATATATTATTGCTTTTTTTAGCAGCCAGTGCGATAGTATTAGGCGGAGTTTATTGGTATAATAGTCGTAAGCCTAAATATAATTTTGAACCCACCCCGCAAGAATTAGAAAATACCAAAGAACTTCATAAAAATATCCATACGAACGAACAAATTACTCATTTATTAGAAGCAGTAGAAGCTAAAAGAGACCGTTTGCGAAAATATCTAGCAGACAAAGTTAACTCAAAGTTAACTGCCAAAGAGGAAGCGGAGATTAATAAAGGATTAGATAATTTCGATTTTCTCCGCGGGGGCGATTATAACCTTGATACTCTGGCTTATGACGAAGCGAAATTAAGCAAAATAGAATCAGCAATTTTCGATAAAGAAATAGTGCGAAAACAGTACACGCAGGAGCAACCCGAGTGATTAGAAAAGGTTTTCACCCACGAGCAAGAGGAAAGTTGGCAACAATGTGATAAACTATTGAAGGCTATCTATCAGTGCTTTTTGGCTAGTTTAACCCCCAGCGAAATAGCCGAATGACAGCCTTTACCCCGTGCCATTATTCCCAAAAAAGTCCAAGGAGTGCCCACTACGGAAGCTAATTTACCCGCTCATTTAGATTATATTAAAACTAGGTATTGGACTTGGCACAACCCCAAAACAGGCAAGTTGTCGGGAGTTCGCGATGCTAAACGGAAATTTCAAGGCTTTGCGGGCTTTATTACCGAAGAAAATTGAGCAGAAAGTAAAGAAGATACAGAAACTTTGGGTTTAACTATTAGTGATTCTCCCCCAGGGGAAATTACCTCGGGTGGGTGTTGAACACCCGACGGAACCGAATTCTCCTGAGTCAACAAACCTATTGTAATTAAGTTAAAAAGAGAACTTTTTTATAATCGAGAGAATAATGACCGGTGAATTACAAAATTTGAGGACAAGGGGAAAGGAGGATATAGTTCACGGTCAACGAATATTAGTTGAGAACAAGTAGAAGACACTATTGCTCACGAATTAGCCCACGCGATAATTGAAACTATTTGAGACAATTATAGTTCCCAAGTAGAAAACGGAAAAGTTATCAAAAATGGCCGCTTTGGTCCTAAAAATGGTGATGAGGGGGGCCACGGAGCCAAGCACGAAGAGTTTTTGCGAAGGATAGTATTAATGATGCGTGAAATCCCCGAATATGCCGAATTTAAAAGTTGGTGAAATAAGAAAAAAAGTGGGGAAAATTAATATTGCCATGGACGGGCCGGCCGGCGCTGGTAAAACTACCATTGGCAAACTATTAGCTACCCGCTTAAATTATCAGTTTTTCGATAGTAGTTTATTATTTCGCCATTTTGCCCGTTTTTGTCAAGTCCATAATCTTTCCCCTGCTGACCCAGAAAAAATAATTAAACTGTTGCACGAGTGAGAAAAAAAATTACAGAATAATCGGAAAGACTTTGTTTCTCAACTAGAAAAAGAAAGAGACCTGCTTACTTCCTCCTCCCTGGGTGATTTGGCTTCCCAAGTGGCTTTATTTCCTCCCTTGTGCCAAGTCATTAATAACTTCCAACAAGAATTAACCCAGGAAAAAGGTTGAGTAGTAGTGGGGCGGGATGTTACTTCGGCCGTTTTACCCCAAGCCGAAATTAAGATTTTTTTAACCGCTAGTGAGAAAATGCGCACCCAGTGTCGGTATCGTCAGTTTTCCACAAAATTAAGTTCCCAAGAAGCAGCCCAGGAATTGCGAGGCCGCGACCAGCGCGACCAAACCAGAAAGATTTCTCCGCTGATAAAAACCCCCGATAGTTGAGAATTAGATACTACTCACTTGTCTCCTCCCATCAGTGTGGAAAAAATATTAGAGTATATTGCCAAAAAATATTAAATATGGCAGCTAAAAAAGATTTTAAGTCCGAGCAAGAGACTAATACTGTTTCTCCAGAAATAAAAAACATTATCGAAAGCATTACCAAAGAATACGGCGAGGGTATTATTACGACCTTGGGAGAAAGTAGATTAAAGGAACAAAAAATCTTGTCTACGGGTAGTCTGCTGCTTGACCAAGCCATTGGCACTGGTGGCTATGTTTGTGGCAAAATAGTAGAAATATTTGGTTTAGAATCAAGCGGCAAAAGCACTCTGGCTCTTCACGCGGTCAGCGAACGTCAAAAAACCGGCAAAAAAGCCGCTTATATTGATTTAGAAAATGGACTAGATATTAAATATGTGCGGAATATCGGCGTAAAAAGTGAAGATTTAATCATTGCTTATCCAGGTAGTGGCGAGGAAGCATTTGAGATAATGAGTAAATTAATTAAGGAAGGCATCGACCTTATTGTAGTGGATTCAGTTTCCAATTTAATCCCCCGCTCCCAACTGGAAGCCAATTTAGAAAAACACAAAATTGGTTCGCACGCCTTATTAATGTCAACCGGACTACGGCGCTTGAAAAACGAATTAACTAACAAAGAGACAATTATCATTTTTATTAATCAAATTCGAAATAAAATCTCCACCAGTTATTACGCGGGCAATCCGGAGACAACCACTGGGGGAATGGCTCTAAACTTTGACGCTGACTTACGAATTAAATTGAAAAAAAAAGACAAAATTGAAAAAAATAATGAATTAATTGGGATTGAGGTGGAAGCCCGCATAGTGAAAAATAAGTTAGCCGCTCCCGGCAAAACAGCTAATTTAGAAATAATTTTCTCCCGCGGCATTCAAAAAGAGCGGGAAATAATTGATTTAGCCACTGAACTAAATACCCTTCAAAAAAGTGGTAATTGATACTCTTACGCGGATAAAAAAATCGGTCAAGGGAAAGAAAATGCTGTGGATTACTTATTAGAAAATCCCACTGTTTATCAGGAAATTGTTGCCAAATTAAAAACAGCTCACTAGTTTATCTTATTTTAAAAAAATAATAAAGGATTATTATTAAGTATTTTAATTATGTCTTCTTTCCTTTTTAATAAGCGGAGTATTTTTTCGTCAATAGTTCCTTTGCAAATTAGGTCAATTACCAGACGAACCCGTGGCAATTCAGCATCGGTAGGAGGTAAAAAACGGGCTTCGGCTTGCTCATTATCGGCGGGAGAATAACTGCGGTCCGCAAAAATAATAGTTTCGGCTCGACTAAGATTTAAACCTACACCCGCACTTTGAATATTACACAGCAAAATCTTTAAAATACCGCTTTGAAAATTACGAATAAACTCTTCTTTTTCTTTGTAAGTAGATTTGCCAGTAATCAGACCTACTTCTATTTTTTGTTCTTTTAATATTTGGGATAAGGGTTCTAAAAAGGTTTCACTGCGGGTAGAAAAAATAATGACTGGTTCTTTTCTCTCGTGGAGAAAACTAAGCAAGTAATTAATCTTACACCCTCAACCCTTAAACCCGAGAGCGGGGGGATAAAGAGTTAAAGTTTTTAATTTGGCTAATATTTCTAACGGCTGATATTTACCTTGCCAACTTGCTCGCCACTGGGAGTAAATTTCTTGTTGTTCCTCTTCCATTAGCAAATATTCTTTTTGGTAAATGACAGGGGGCAATCACGGCAAAACTTCTTTTTGCCTTCTATTGACGGAAAATTGACCTATTTTTTCTTGTAATTCTTGCTGTTTTTGTTCGTTTTGAAAGTCTTTTACCCGTCATATTTTATAGGATTTTTTGCCCTTGTGAAACTCTAATTTCTGGATAACAAAATACTGTTCGGCAAACTTTCAGTAAGAAGAATAAATTTCCGGTTGGAGAAACTTCAAAATACCAAAGATATCCGTATGATGATTAACAATGGGTGTTCCCGTCAGAGCCAGTTTGTAAGCAGCATCGCGTAAGACATAAATACTTTTGCTTTGCTGAGATTGATAATTACGAAGGAAATGGGCTTCGTCAATAATAACACAGTAATTATTATTACTATCTTTTCTTTTTTTTAATTTTTTAAAATATTTACTATCTATTTTAAAAGTATCTTTGGAAACAATAATAATTCATTCTTTCTCCTGACAAAGTTTTTGGTAGAAATTAGCCCGCCATTGTTTATCTAAATAAGTAATTATATAGGCGGGTTTGGCTAGCCATTCCTCTACTGATTTTTGTCATTGCTGTTGTAAAATGTTAGGAGTAATAATTAGTAAATTATTAACTTCTCACTGATGAAAAGTCATTAAGGTGGTAGGAGTTTTGCCCGTGCGCATTTCACTAAAAACTGCTCCGCTTTTTAATTGGCTGAGAAAATTAACATCTGCTAACTGGTAATTTCTTAGTTGCTGTTCCGAAGAAATTGACGGGATGGAGGGGTCTTCAGAAAAGTTATAGTCAGAGAGTATTTTTTGTAATTTTTGGCGATTAAGAGAGTTATTAGGTAGCGAGTAATATCTTATCTTACCTTCTTGGTCAGCATTAAGACAAAAAGCCCACGAGTAAGTGATTTTTAAAACTATTTTCTCAGGATTAATTTCCACCATTTCTAATCCTGCTTTCTCTTTGCTACTTATCTCAATCTTTGCCATTCAAAAACTATTAATAAGTTTTTTTACCTTTCATTATTGTAGTGCTAGTTTTTTGAGAAACATTTAGCAAAAGTAATTAAGATTACCTGTTTTTTTTTTTTTTTGCTATTTTTCAGGTAAAAAAGCTCAGGACTACTATCATAATTACGGCTATTATTCCCCAAAAAACTTTCATTTCGGTGGGTATTGCTGGCTTTTCCTGATTATTCTTTGAGCTTTTAGGTGGACTCCAGGGTTGAGGATTGTTTTTTTGTGGATTTTTCTTTTCCAAGCATTCAGGAGAACAATAATCATTTCCATCTCAGCCTTCAATAACACGATTAGAAATGTATTTTCTGCAAACAGAACAAGTTTTTAGTCTATCATTATGATATTTCCACGGTTGGCAGTGGCGACAATCTTTTTGTTTTAATATTTTGCCGTTTTGGTCTTTCTGGTCAGCATAGCAATCAGAGTCATCAGTTTTTACATAACCTGTCCCAGCTCTTGCATAGTGGGATTTATCATAAGTGTAAATAAATGAGTAGTTCTGTAAATATTCTTGCTCTTTTTCCTTATAACAAGTCTGACAAATGTGGAGTCTTTTGCTTTCATCACCACGATAATTCCCTATATAAACTCCTTCGCTACCAGGTTTAATCTCTTTTTTTTGACAAATATCGCATTTCATAATTAAATATTTTTTTCTTTTTCCTTACTAGGTCAAAAAACTACTAATAAAAGAGCAACAATTAAGAGGATTGAACCCGCCAAAATCCAACTAAAATGTTTATCTAAAAAAAATTGTCGGGGTTTGGCAGTATCCACATTAACACATTCTAGTCGTGAAGTTAATGGAACTGAGAGTTTTCCCATATCGCGGGTTGAACTAGTGGCAATTAAAATATATTTTGATAAATCAACTTTTTCTTTTTCACTAAATAACTCGGTATTTTGTTGAGGGTCAAAAATCGGTAATAAACTTTGTTCCAGTGCTGAGCCACTTTTAATTTTTTCAATATTTTTAAATCAAATAATCGGGAGTTCTTTTTTTTCGATAAGTTGCTTATTTTTGGTATTATTATAAATCTCTTTGATTTTGCTTTCAATTCACTCTCCCTTTTCGTTGTCTACTTCACCAAAATCAATAAGGTTTATTTTTTTTTGTATTTCTTGATTCTGAGTTAATTCTTGGTTATATTCCTCGCCCGCAAAAAATGGAACTCAGGAAAAATCTTTAATATTATCGCTGTCCTTTTCCCTTTTGCGTTCTCTAACTATTTTTTCTTTTTCAAGTGTTTTCAATAGTAATTCTTTATTCATTATTTAGTTAATTTGAGCGTTTTGTTTTCTTAATATAAGTTTCTTAATAATTGCCGCTAATAAGAGAATTCAAATAACTCCTCACAGAACAAAAAGTAGATAATGTTTTAAACTGGGATAAAAACTTTCCTTATAAGGAAGCACATTGTTTTTTAATCATTGTTTGGGGTTATCCAACAAAAATTCCTGCCCTTTTTTCTTGGCATAAATATATTCTTTTTCTATTTTATGTAATACTCTTTCGGTTTGGCGTATTCCTGCTTCTTGAATGTGTTTTGGTAATTCTTTAATAATTTTATCAGGAATAATACTTTTTTTTTCACCGCCACAGATTTTTTGTAAGTTTTTTTCTATTTTATCTTTCTTTAATCTTAATATTTCTATTTTCTCTTCATCACTGTAATCCTCTAATCGCCGCATTTTTACTTTATTTTTAAGAAGGGGGACTAAATTTTCGGGGTAATTAACAGTAGTGAAGAAAGTAATATGGTCTAATTCTATATCTTCTCGATAATATTTGTCAAATAATTTTTCACTTTTGTCTTTTCCTTCATTTTTATACATGTCAAATAGTTTTATTAGGTCTCCTTGAACTTGGCTTCCTTCTTCTACTTTTTCTAACTCATCCAAGAGAATAATAGGATTTTTACAACCGCTTTCTTTAATCGCCCAGGCAACTAAACTAGGTTTATTTTCGTCTCCTAAAATGGAGTAATTTTTGAACTCTTTTAGTCCCGCACAAGAGACAGAGAATAGAGGTCTGCTCATGGCCTCTTTGAGCGTTGTAATAAAAGAAGTTTTTCCGGTTCCGGGTGCACCCGCATAACAAATTACTTCCCTTATGGGTCAGAAACTCCCTTTCGTCTCTGAATATAAATAGACATCGTCAGCAAACTTTTCTTTTTCTTTTTTAAAGCCGATATGAGATTCCAGTTTTTGTTTTGCTTCCTCCGCTGATTCTCTTACTTGGGGCGGATTTTTCAGAGCTTTTTTAAGCTCTTCTTTTTCTTTTTCCTTGTTATTCATATTTTTATTACTTTATATTAAATATCGTTCAGTAGAGTACTAAACCGAACGCTGCTATTAACATAGCTAACCATAATGTTCAGGTTTTTTTGATAAATTGCTTATAGGATATTCTACTTTTTTCTAAACTAGCAATCAGTATTCCATTATTGGGTGAAAAAGCCATTCCAATCATTCCTCCTAATCAAGCAAATAAAGCCGCATAGATAAGAATTGATTGGGAAAAAGCTGCCAAAGTTGGAGCCAAAGCTGCAACCAAGACGGTGGTTATTACTGGACTACTAATGAGAAAGGTAAATAGCATTGAAAGTCCAAAAATAGAGAGTAAGGCTAAGTATTTAAAATTAGGTGTAACGCTCGTTGGTAATATTCTTGTTGCTAGATTTTTTGATATGCCTGAATCTTTCAGTATTGTTGCGGGCACAGCGGCAAAAATATAAATTATCAGCAAGGGAATAGCACTTTGAATAGCGGTAATCAAATTCCCCATAATACTTTGTTTAGCCAACAAGCAAATAGTTATCCCGCCAATAATAAGTCAGCAGTTAATAGCCCTATCTTCCCATTCACCAAACTTCCCTCAATAACTTTTTGACTCTTCTTTTACTTTAGCAATTTCCATTCTTCCTATGTTCCCTAAATCTTTATGTTCCTTTTCTTGGTATTCGCTACTTATTCATTTAGGAATTTTTTTGGTGTTTATCCTTTGGGCGATAGGAGCAATTTGGGCGATTGTGCTAACTAGCAAAAAAAATCCGGCGACTGCCAAGATAATTTTTCTTGTTCTGTTAAAGAGCGGGGGAGGTTCTGCCTTAACTAAATCGTTCTTTTTGTCGATAGGCACTTGTTTATTCCTACTACAATATCAAATATTAAATAGAATAATAATTGTGGCAAAGAGAATAAAGGATACTATCCGAAAACTTATCCCAGTTACGCCCGTATAATTAATACTTTCTCCCACATCACCAAAAGATTGACCATAATGTCTACCCATTCTTTCGGTTGAAACTAATCCCATTAAACCCACAATTGAACCACCATAAAGGCACAAAATAGAAGAAAAAATATCAAATCCCATTGTCATCAGGAGGGGAATAACTAAGGGATAAAAATGAACAAACTCATCAAATCAGGATAAATTAGAACTTAACAGAGCAGCCCCAATAGTAATCAAACCAATGGTAAAATATTTTCTTTTTTGTAATCATTTTCTTTTCGCGGCAAAAAGAGCTTGGAAGGCTTGACTTTGGAGAATTGCGTATAAGAAAAAAGCGAAAGCAAAAATCGACAGTCCCTGGCTTACTAGTCTTTCCGAAGCTGTCTTATAAATACAAGGTAAAATGTCGGTTATTCCTACTGTGGTCGTAGCCAAAGAAGTCCAAGTTAGAAATACAGCAAAGATACTTATTAAAAAAGCTATTAAGTAAAAATAATTAGTGTTTTTCTTGCGCGAATTTTTTTGCTTATTTATCTCCATAGTTATTAAATAATTCTATCAAAGTTTTCACCATCACACCCGTTCCACGCTTGGTTTTTGTTTTTCAGGCTGTTCCCGCAATGTCACAATGAATAAATGGGAGTTTTTGGACAAACTCTTGTAAAAATGCGCCACCACTAGAAGAGCCCATATAACGACTACTGCTAATATTGCTAATATCCGCAATAGTAGTATTTTCCTTTAAAGTTTGGGTATTTTCCGGAATTATTGGTAATTCTCAGTATCTTTCATGAGACTTGGCTAACGCTCGCCGCAATTCTCGGTAAAATTTTCGGTTATTAGTTAATATTCCTGACAAATTTTCTCCCAATGCTGCCACTACTGCTCCCGTTAAAGTAGCTACCGTAATAATCTTAGTGACTTTTTCTTTCTCAATCGCATAAGTAATGCCATCGGCCAGAACTAAACGACCTTCCGCGTCCGTATTATTGATTTCTACCGTTTTGCCACTCATGGAAGTTATTACCGATTCCGTAAGAGTAGCGTGCCCCCCAATGACATTTTCTGTTAAACAAGCAACGGCAACCACATTTATTTTTGGTTTGTTTTGGGTCAAAACTAGAAAGGAAGCACACACCACAGCCGCTCCCGACATATCGAATTTCATGGTTTCCAAGGCTGCCGAATATTTTAAATTATATCCGCCACTATCAAAGGTGATACCTTTTCCTACTAGTCCCAAAATATTACTTTTGTTTTTCTTATCACCGAAATAGCGTAAAATAACTATTCTTGGTTCGTGGTGGCTACCGGCATTTACCGCCAATAATAAACCCATTTTATTTTTCTCAATTTGCTTTTTATCCAAAATTTCTACTTCAACACTCTTGAACTTGCTAAACTTTTCTTTAACTTGTTCTGAAAAATCTTTGGCATGTAGTTTGTTAGGCGGTGTGTCTTGTAAGTCTCGGGCTCAATTAACTGCTTCTAATTTCTGGATAGAATTATCCAAAATTGCTTGCGCCTCCTTGTTTTTAGTGATTAAATAATAATTACCAGTTTCCTTTTTGTTTTCTTGTTTTTTGTAATTTATTAATTGGTGACTACCGAACAATATTCCTTCACTAATGGCTTGAATTATTTCACTTTCGGATAAGTTTTTTGCTGTAAATGATTGAATATCAATGTTTCAACTTCTTTCACTGCTATTAGCAAAAGTCACAAAATAGTTATAAAGTTCAGAAAATTTATAATCACTGCTTTCTTTGTTAATATATATATAGCGAGTTCTTTCTTCGGAAATTAGAGTGGATTTTCATTCCTTTTTTTCTACCAAAGGGTGACATTTTTCTTTGTTGGTAACGGTTTTGAGAGTTAGTAAATTAGTTTTGGCTTTTTCTTGGATAAATAATGTGGTCATGTATTCAATATTTATAAATTTTTAACTAATCTTTATTAATTATGGCATATATAGAAAATTTTTTATACAAAGAAAATAAAATATTTATTTTACACCAAAATTTAAATATGTCATTAAAT